CCAATTAATAGTTGTTTAATAGCGTATAATATGTGCAATTTAGGGGTATTTACAGTGCTTTAGATATTTGTTCACATTTTTGTTCAAAATAAATGTCACAATCAGGACATGACATGTCGTTATAGACTACCTCTCAGGCACTTATTCTTTGGCTCAAATTCATACCACCTTTTAATTTGCACACATTATATGCATCTATAATATCACACAATTAATGCCTTTTAATTTAAAACACTAAATATATATGTTTTTACAATTTATTAATTCTATGCATAATATAAGTACTTATAAATGAATACAGAATTTATTAAAAATGATGTTTATTTTAATTTCCAATAAATTTTGAGACAAAATGTTTATTTCAAAAAGTGATCAAAATATTGAAGATATGAATTTGAAATCACTCTCAAGAGGAAAACGCGTTAAACATTTAGTCCACTATTTCTTCGATAGTTTTGGCAACTCTTGCAGAGTCTGCTTGAGGTCTGAGTGCATCTCTTTGATGGCGTCCACCACTCGCTTACTGGACTCGTCGGCGCTTTCTTTGGCCACTTTGCGGGACTCTTTCATCTCATCGATCAACGAGTTTGTCGAGTGTCTCAACTGTTCCACGATTTCAGTGCAATACTCGTCGGTGTCTTCGGCCTGATTCATGCCTTCCACGCGAAGACCCGACCGGCGATTCTGTCCTTTGGGTGCCATAAAGGGCTGGAAAATGAGATCGTGAAGGATTTGCGCCTCGGCCTCCGCTTCGGGATCCGCGTGCGCCTCGTGTTTGGCTGTCTTCGCACGACTGCCACCTCTCGACCGATTGTCGCCCTTCACCCGAACCGTAGTCTTCGGCGTCCGGCGTCGCAACTCATTGAACAGATCGTTGTTTCGGTCACTATTACCGGGCGTTTGTTTATTGCCTTTCTGTCCAAACGGCGAGTCATCGAAACCCAAGAATGCAAACTCTTGGGAATCGATGCTACCTATGCTCCCACCGCTAGCGTTGCTGCCCTGACTCCCCCGACGGCCCACTCCTTTCGGTAAATCATTGAAATCTTGACCACTCTTTTTGTTAGACATTTCTCTCTTGAGTTTTGCTTTTGATTAATGATTATATGATCTGTGATTAAAGTTACAACTAATTTAACCGTTTTGTAAAGTTTTACGTTGATTTTACAATGATTTAAATTCAATCAATGCTTTATTATTCACGCGAATGTATTAATTTGAAAACTAGTTCATTGTTTGGACGCATTTATATTTAGAAATGATGTAAATCTCTTCAACGGCAGAGACATATCGTGTGGATTATGTCTAATGAAGGACAGGGAGCGCAGGCGACGGCTGAGCGCGAGTGTCGTATATGTCTTGATAGTGATAATAGCGATGCGCTCATCAGTCCCTGTGTTTGCACCGGTTCTCTGAAATACGTGCACAAAGAGTGTATCTTAATGTGGATCAACAGGAGTCAGACCATCACATGTAATGTCTGTAACTCCGACTACAGGTGCAGAATCGGGAAGAGGAGACTCGAGTTGTGGCGGTTTGTGAGGGAACAGTGGGTCGAAGCGTTTGCGTTACTCCTGTTCACCGCCTTATATCTGTTGCCGGTTGTCATACTGTTTACCATAGATTTGCCCACTTTTAACGCACTCCGAGTCCGGTGTCGGAGCGATACGATATCGCAAACACATTTCACTGTCAAAAAGTTTTTCTCCATTATCTACTGTCTCTTCTCGTGTCTAATCCAATGGATTGCAGCCATCAGTCGTCTTACGAGTGCCTGGAATAGACATTATGTATACACTATTGAAGATTGATTTGAGACAACACTATCATTAATAAAATCAATGTATATTTACTGAATAAATTACAAGAACTAACAATTAAATGACATTTTAATTAAATGAGTAAAAAATTCAAACCCCTATTTGCGATAAAAATTTACATTTATATATATTTACTAAAATTAAATAAATTTCAAGTTATTTCACACAGAATTTAGTCTACAAATGAATTGCGAGAATTGCATTCAATTAGTATTATGTTCTTTGAATGGGATGTGGATTAGGATTAGGCAAGAGATCGACTTTGAAATGAGTTCTCTTCCATTCACTGAGACTATAGGCGACTCTCATTTGAAACAAACGCCAGAGACGAAGGATTGCCACGAATCTGATGGCAGTTATTAAGATAATCACATTCATCCAAAACCAAGACATAGGGTTATGCAACCAAATGATGAGACCTATAATCGCCAAATGGCACACATTTACCGTCCGAATCACCAATTCTTTGAGTTCTTCGTATTCTTCTGGAGTCTCTTTCAGGTATTCGCGGAAACCTTTTGCGTAAATTTTTGTAATGTATTTAAAGTCACAGATTTCGCACTTCTGTTGAGATGTGATTTCAAGCCATTCTTCGCAACAATTTTTGTGAATAATTTCATCGCAATCGCAGGCAATGATTAGTGGATTGTCATCACTGGTGGTACTCTTCAGACATACTCTGCATGACTTGATCCCTTTTGTCCTCATATTTATTGATCTATTAGTTAATTATTTATAAACACTTCTGTCTGTTATTTGTTTTAAATTTAAATAATTGTAAATCTGTTATAAAGTACTTAAGTCGTGCTTTACTTTGCATTGTTTCATAAAAATACTGAAAAACACGATAAATTATTTCCAATAATCCACATATAAATTGATAATTAATTTATTTTATAAAAGTTTACATTAATTTAATTAAATAACAAGAGATAAACTTTATATTTAATAAAATAATATTTATAAATGTATATCAAAATAGTTAATATATTGTGACGAAAGCGTAAATATATTGAAAAAGTATTGTAAAACCAGTTAATGATTGGTATGGACTTCTACCTCAACGATCTCCTGATGTCCAGCAGTGCTGTTATCCGAAGAGGAGATACTATTAGATCTCATTCTCGTTGATTCGGGTGTTTCGGTCTCAAACTCGGACTCATAGGTCTCAAACTGATCGTCATTATTGTCGCCATTAATTGGTGACGAAGAACGGGAACTCTTTTTCTCCAACTCTATGACAGTCTGTTCCGCGTCCTCGACATCACTATCACTCATATTATTGTTTTCATTGTTTGTCGTGACGTGTGTTGTCTCGTTGTGTTTGCCATTATTGATGGGTTCAGTGTCTTGAAAGGCGCCGCCCATCGCACCCGTGGACAAGCTTTTGGTCAAACGGTTTGCATTCTTCTTACAGTTAGCGCACATTTTACCGCCGCTGACGTCCACTAGAGTAAAGTGCGATATTTTGGACCCAATTCTGTGTTTGTGTTCACAGCATGTGCTGACACGAAGATCACGGATGCCATCGATGAGGACAGTCATCGAGAAGGGACTGTCGCCGTGCGGGCGAACACTAAACGTCAATTTCTCTGTAGATTTTATTAAAAATATACTTTTATAAAATAAAACTAAAATTTGTATTAAAACCAATTGAAATTAATAACAAATACGTGGACACAAACCTCCGGGTGAGACCATTCGATCAAATATAGTGATGGCATTCCCACCGCTATATAATTGTTGACTTATTTGCACTCTTCTCGGTATTAAACAATTGGCTGTCAAACCATTGAAACGAAGTGTTATAATAGAGGGCTTTGCCTTCTTCGACGACCACAAACCGGATCTCCTTTTATCATATTCTTCATCGTCGGTGTCATGAATGGACAGTCCGTCCAAAGACAATATATCAGAGAATTGTTCGTTGAGTTCGGTTTCAGTTTGTAAATCGGGTTTTACTTTATTTGACGATCGGATACCGTATGAAGACTTTGGTCTCTCATATCTATTCAGAGCATTCACTCTAACTCTTCGTCTCCTATTTGTGAACAATTTTGGTTTGATTTGCGCCACTCTTCTCAACCACGACATTGATGTCGGTCCCGAAGGAGCGCTCTTTTTGGTTATACCGGAACTATTGGATTGAGTTCTTGTGGTGACACCAGTGGTGGCAGTATTGGATTGGGAGGACTCGAACGCAATCTTCGCCCTCTGAACTAATTCCCATTTGGCCTCCGATTCCAGAGTCCGGGTCTCGTGAAGTCGTTGGAGACCCAAACGGTTGGAGAGAGGGGAGAGGTCGTGAAGTGAGTTGTTAACTACGTTAACAAACGCAGAGAGCAGAAGGTCAGCAGAGTCAGATTGGTGACGAAGGCCATAATAGAAGGGAAGTGAACAGTAGACTAAAGTATGACAAATAGAGTATTGTTTTTCAATAAGAATACTGTTTAAATATTCACAATAATGACTGCAATAACTCTATAGAAAAACTTTGAATAATGCAATATTAGTGCCCTTATAATGCAATAAAAGTCAATTTCCTACTTCACTATAAATTATAAAACAAAATCACATTTTATATGCAGTATATATACAGGATTATGTCTTCTGATTATATATTTAATACACATTAGACTTATCTATACATTAAGTACATTCAAAACAGTAAATTCTGTGTTTGTTATGATAAATGAGGTAAACTAACATTGAGTTGAAGAATATGATAAAAGGAGATCCGGTTTGTGGTCGTCGAAGAAGGCAAAGCCCTCTATTATAACACTTCGTTTCAATGGTTTGACAGCCAATTGTTTAATGTATGAAATCAGATGACAAGTGAAGGGAAGATAATACCGGAAGCAGTGGTTAGACTGAGACGACTGGAAGACGAGAGACGCAAACAATTGCATCAATTGTTGAGTGAAGTGCTGGAGAGGGGAGAGAGAGAGAGAGAGAGAGAGAGAGCACATACCAGTCCGGCCTGAATGAGATGATTGCGAACCTTTGGTTTGCGGAAATATTGATGAAGATGTGGATCGTTTAGACTATTATATGTACCCAAAGCGCTGTATTATATGTGTATACATATGAAAAACAAAATGCATTAACGCATGAATTATTTATACAGAATATTCTGATTATAATCAATGATAAAAGACAGACAAAAAACAAAAACACATTTACAAAGAGAGAAAACAGAGGAGTGGATGAGAAAACATTTAAAAAAAACTTTATAAATCAATATGCAATAAAAATACTCTAGATATTTTTTATTAATAGCGGCCACAGTCCACATCATTTAACACTCGGCGCTTATAATGGACTTCAGTTCCGCTATTTATTTGTAGTACAAATTTGTACACAGAATAGGGTTTTCCAATATATTGGACACAATTATGTTGTTTTTTTGGTCGACAAAAAAATTACATTACATTTTGTGATTGAAGTTTTTCGCTGCCACTCCTGTGCCACACAATTGTATTGTTGCCAACAATGCTGTGATCAATAGGAATGTCAACAAATATAATGTATTGATTTTCGTGTCTCTATTCTGTTGCGATAGAGACCTAATACAGTATACAAAATCTTGGTCAATATTAATAGCAATATTGTATTTTTAGTTTTATTCTTGTAAATGATTGCTATTAAAATTAATTGCATTTTTTCACACATGATTTTTTATGCAAAATTAATTTATTTATTCAAACTTTTACATTTGCTTATTTCCTATTTTTAGTTATAATTTAATAATCATAGTATTTTTACACATTTTATTGCCTAAGTTCTAGAATCATATATTCTTGTATTGTAGTAATATTATTAACTTTAATCATTTTCAAAAAATGTTTTTCTAATAATAATTCAATAAAAACATAAACATTTCTATCAAATTATATTATTTACAACATTATTACTTACAGCAAAGGAAAGTTATAAAATAAATCAATAATTATGTAATACAAAAATTTATTACAAAACACTAATGCCAAACATTCTGTAATATACAGTTATATTTGTTAATTGTTGTATAACTGTTATATAAACATAATTGTTTATTCGTCTATTTGTTTACAAATACTTATCTAAATTAAAAATCTTTGTAATTGTAATAAAAATAGATTTATTTATATTTACAATCTAATTATAGAATATATGAATTTACAATAAATGTGTAAATTGAATAAATAAAAACCATATATGACTAAAAACTTTTATAAAAATAAAATAGTAATAAATGTTTAAACATTTAATCATTAAATGATGAATTATTTTACACAACTCTCTCGATTGTCATCAGTTCAATTTCCATCCGCTGTTCATTAACTGAAATGTGATTTTTCTTATTTTTAGGCTTATTTTCATCATTTATTAGATACGCAAACCATAGGGTGATTATGATTAGGAAAAACTGCAACACATGACTCGTGAGGTTTAAACTCGTTGTGTAGAGCAGTTCCACACCAGTGTCCAAATGGCTGGATATCCATATGATTGCCAGCCATATGCCGGACGTCTGTGTCAGGTAGTGGTGCTCTTTGATGCCTCCGATCAGGTTTGACAGCGAAATCAATTCACGTAATACTGTATCCAAACTCGATATGAATTTTACTCTCGGATAGAAATGACTGTCCGTTGAATACACGGTCTTATATTGTTTGACATTTGTATTCAAATAACCACTTCTTCTCACATCAAACTCTTCCCTATCGATGGTCTGAATGTCACGAAAAAGTAATAAAAATGTGATTGTCATCGAAGAGACGGTTCCGGCGATTAATAATGATTTTAACGATAACAAAATAAACTGTCTTTTTGAGACCATTTTTTAAACAAAACAACAAATTATATCAAATTTTTCAAATGGGAATTCATTAATGGAAAATAAAAGTGTTTTTAAATTATATATTAAATAGTTTTTGTTTTTAAGCAACTTTTTCGTACATAAATATATGCCATTTCCTGATAAATCAATATCCGATTGGTTTGAAAATTAATTTAAAAATGTTTTAATAGTTTTAGATATTTCCAAAATTATGAACTAAAGTGTGAAATAACTTTCATTTGTTTGTTGTCTTATATTTACTGTTTGTCTTTCAATTGAATTAACACAAAAAACATTTTGAAATAGAGATCTCAATTATTAATCTAGTTATTATTTTAATATTAAATCAAACAGTTTTAGTGTTATTTATTTTGAGTTAAAAACAAATACAACTTTGAAACCAATTACATGCCTTATAATATGATATGTTATAATTTATAAAAGTGCATTATTTTTACCAGACGATGATTAATGAAAACCTGTTTGATTAACTAACCATGATTTCTGTCCTGTCAACATAGTATTTGACATTATTTAATTATGTGTCTGTTAATAATTTTTATATTTTAATTATAATGAATATATAAATTTTCATTAAGTTTAGATTATACTGTATTTATTTTAAATAGACAATACAGTTATTGAGCAGTAAAATAGATGCTCAATATAAATTACAATTGATACAAATATAATTATTATAGAGAATATAAATATTAAATAATTAAGTTATAAATAAATAATATTATATTCTATAAATATATTAAACTGTAAAATTGCATACATAAATTGAATAGTTGATATGATAATAAATACTTTAAGCATATCGAAATATCGAAATTTAATTTGGCACAATATTTAATATTTACTTTTAAAATACTATTCATATTTTAAAAGAAAAATCAAAAGTAATTTTTAAAAAACTAAATAAAAAATTAGTGTATTATTTATAACAAACAATTGGCAAAATAGAGTTTAAAATTATTTTGAATGTCATTATTAAGCAATTGTAAAACAATTTGAATAAATTGGTTTACAATTAACATTGAATTTCACGTTTTGCGAGTCCGGGGTTGAAGTATAGTTCCCTTTCGACACAACATAACCTAATCTCAGGTCTCTGTTTTTCCATCTCTTTTTCCAGTCGTGATTGAGTCTAACATTCAATTTAAATATAAGTTAACAATTTATTTAATAAAATCATACAATTCTTACTTTTTGTAGTAATTCTGCCAAAGGTTTATACCACGAGAACTGAGCGATTGTATGACTGAACGCCTGACCAAATTGTGTGAATCCTTCAAACGGGTGGACTTCGTTTGGATCTTTCATTGCATAATACCACGAAGGGATACCTATTGTACCGTACATTGTATTGTTTAATAATAATAATAGTAATAAATTTATATTTAATAGTAATAAATGCATTATAGTCCATACCCTCAGCGCATGAATATACAATATATGTGCGTTGATTCTCATTTGTCCAGTTCCTATCGATGGTGTCCATATCAATCACTATACGACTGCCAATTTTGACCGCAGAAAGTGGTGTCGTTGGCTCATCTGTACAATTAAATCAATACAATTTAAACATTCAATAATAGCATAATTGTAAACTAGAAACTAAAAAACTGAGTTCACTCAACTGGTTCGGCAACAGTTGAATACAAATACTTTGGGTTTGTTTCGCAAAGAAGAGCACTTTCTCTCTGAAAACTTGTCCACAATCTTACTGATGGCCAATTCATCGCCGGGTGTTTCGCCGTAACCTTTGATCTTCTCATCGCCTCCGTGTCCGATAAACATCACGATAAAGGCGTCGCCTTTGTGTTCGTATTCGGCCGCTGTGTTCAACACCGCCTCGATTTGGTTGCACTTCAGCAGCGAATGAATCTCGACATTGAAGTACATCTGTTTTAGTATTGACTCAAATCTTTGGGCCTCTTTGTGGAGGACATCGATTGTGACAAATATAAGCGCTCGTCCGCGTTGTCGGCCATCCATTGTATACCATCGCGAATAACCGGATCTTAACGTAATGGCCGGCACGACCTTTAGGTCTATAGTATTGACGTAATCCCAGGGATCCTCTGATGTGTTGTATTCACGCAACTTATTGGCCGCCTCGGGCTGATCCGAATCCTCCAACATCTGCGCCAATAGCGAGCAGTTGTTGCGCTCTCGCGTGAACTCCGAGAATATTCTGCATTTTTGTGCCGTCGGATTGCTTTTGAATTTCTGTATTAATTAAACATTTATTTCATTTCACTATTTTTCACTCTTTTACACAAACTATTTCGGTATTAATAATAATTTATTATCAATAAGCACTTATTATCAACATTTTGTTATTATGATACTTATATTTACATTATTTATTTCATTTCTATATTAACTAACAATACAATTAACAATTGTCAGAATATTTTTATATAATTTATATTATTCTAAGAAAATAATTTAGAATAATATATAGTTTAAAAATTTTATAAACAATGAAGAAGGTGTTACCTCTAGATCGTTGAGCATATATTTACATGGATGCGTTTCCAATAATTGCAAAAATTGTGGATTTAATTTAACTTCATGAATAAATTCAAAGAAGTTCTCGTTGAATTTCTTTCTCTGTAGTTCCTGTTCCATACCTGTTGTCCAATATTACCACGACTTTTATATAATTGAAACAAATGTTGTTTTTTCTCAATATTTTTCAGACAAATAGACTCAACAAATATCTCAACCCTAATATAAACTCACTTATGATTGCATTATTATTATCAGTATTGCATACATAAAGTGTCGGAATTTTCAATGCCATTCATTTGTTGATAAAATTACGTAAATCTGTAATTTTATTCATTTTTTGTTTTCAAATACTTTTAATATTAATAATTATTACTCATTTTAAAGTTTAATTTCAAATATATGTAAATATTGTTATAAATTATTGCTGGGCAATGTAGTATACCGGGTATACTTAGTGTAGCCACATGTTCAACTAAAATATCTAACATAAATATATTCATAATTAATTGATTAAATTGACAATTGGCAGACATTTTACATTATAATTA